GGAGTGTGCAGAAGTGTCCGGGCGTCAGTGGGTAGCCCTGGAAGTTTGGGCGCCAAAAACACGAGGAGGTCGTTCAGGGCGACGTGTTTGATCGCATGGTTGACTGCCCATACTCTCAGGCGCTCCCGATCAGATGGCTCTGTGCTCGGGCCTCCGTCGCTTGGCAGTGCGCCCTGCGCGGAGGTTGAAGCGGTGGGTATCGATGCGGCGAAGGTTGAACCGGCGGGTGTCGATGCGGCGGAGGTTGAACCGGCGGCGGGTGTCGATGCGGCGGAGGTTGAACCGGCGGCGGGTGTCGATGCGGCGGAGGTTGAACTGGCGGAGGTTGAAGTGGCGGGGGTCATCTCGACGTGCCCGTCCGGCGGAGCTGCTGATGAAGAGTCTCCCACAGGCTCTCCTGGCTTCTGTGCAATCCAGGAGGCGCCAGAGCAGGCAGCTTTTCCGCTCCCCGACGTGGTGGCTTTGGGCGACTCGCCGTGGCCGGGAGAGCGCTGGGAGGGAGGGTTGATGATCCCTTGGTCTTCTTCCATAGGCTCTTCGACTGATGTGGAGTGGTCGGTAACCTGTTGCATCCGAACGCTCGCTATTTGCTCGGACGCAAGCTTCCTCGCCCTGCGTCGTTGCCGCCTCTTTCGATTCCTTTCCCGGTTCGAGGGAACCCCGCGATCCATAGCGTCGGAATTTGGCAGTTGGGCGCTGATCCAGTCGCAGTGCTCAACGACGAAAAGTGAAGCTGAAAACGCGGGTAGTGGACGACTCGCCAACGGGGACGGCTGTTTGGATATGGCGGGTTGAGCTGCTAACAGACGACACCTCCTAAAAGGGCGGGAAATATATGTTTGCTTCTCACCGAAAGCTTCTGCACCGTCGCGCCTCATTTTCTTTCGGTTCCTCAATAAATAAGTAATAAATATTTTATTGTTTCTTTTCTTAACACAGTACATACACTATTTATTCCGAAGTAATTAACACATTACTTCGGAATATATTTTTTTATATCTATATATTTTCTCAAAAACTTTCATAATTCGAAAGACTGTAAAATATTTATATATTTTTGTAATGATTAAATTAACATTCCTCAAACAAATAAATTCGATAATAGGTACCTCAATTGCCTGTGTTCCAAATCTTACCTAAATAGATTCGAGTTACTCCGGCGGATCGTGTCACGTGACAGCACAGATTGAAAAACTGGACGCGGGTAGGTTTTAGAACGCCAAGGGTACAAAACCCTTACCCTGGAGTAAGATCGAGTAAATTTTGGAACACGGCCTATAATAATGTTATTTCGTCGGTTTTATGACGAAGCAAGGTCGTTGGATGAAGCCAATCCGAAAATCAGCCGTTGGAAGTGCAAATTGCTACATCGTCTGCTAAACACCGAGGTCAGCGTTCGGCATTCTTTACAACTCTCCGCTGCGCTCGTCTAAGGATCGCCACTGGTGAGTGCCATTTAGTAACTCAAAGATGATATACCAGGCGCTAATGTACTAAAACTGAAATGGGCTAGTTGGACCAACGCAAAAGCGCAAAAAACACTGACGAGGAAGAAAACACGGACGAGGAAGAGACGTATACAACATAGCGCCAGTACGCGTCTCTTCCTCGTCCGTTTTTCTTATTATTACTACTACTACTAATATTATTAGTAGTAGTAGTAGTGAGTCTAAATGGTGGACATGTGTTGTAACTTTATCCAATTATACTTCAATCACAAGTTACAAAAAAAAAAACAATCCAATGTCTCGAGAGAAAGTTAAGCCTTTTTCATACACTAAAAAATTTACGTCAATTTGACGTGTCTTTCCCTCGTCAAAAAAGACGGGCACGCTCATCATTTCAAAATACGAGGATGCCCTCATTATTTATTTGGCGCGAGAGCCGAGCCTTCCAGAAAAGCCGAAATCCCAGGAGTGCGAGCATGCGCAGATGGCGAGGAGTTGAATGCCCCGCCGCGCAGCGCGCAGCCCCGCAGCTCTTTCGCGGCCCTCCTCTCTCGCAGAATGGCGGTGTTGGTGCGCTGTTGCGGTTGTTGCAACACCCATCTCTGTTGTTTTGCGGTTTTGCTCCGAGTCTTGCCAGTCTTGCGCCCGTGCCGCGCAGGCGCAAACAGAGGTTGCAGCAGCTATCGCCATGCTATCGCTCTTCGGGCGTTCGTCGAACTCGCCTCGGTGGCTGTTGACATCGTGGTCAGTGTAGTGTTCTGTGATGCATCAGGGCCTCATCAGCTCATCGACGACTAAATCGCCCACTTCAAGGTATGCAATGTGACTTTATCCTTGCAATGTCTTGCTTACGTATTGTAATCGAATATTTCTCCATGTTCGCGGTTCGAGTGCTTTCGGTTGAAGACGGAAAGCGCTCGAGCGTGTTCGAAATCTGCGGTCTGAGAACACGGGCGTCCACCGACACATCGTGCTTTTGGTGTTTCTTTTTCAGCACGTTATGTTTCCGTTATAATATGCACGTGTTTATTTATCCGTGCTGCAGCGGCGGCGCCTTTACTCAGAGCCCTGCGCCTTATCTCTTAGAAGAACTCGCGAGTACGAGCTTTTATGGAAGCTTAGTTTCTGTGTTTGTTTTTGCAACAACATTCATGCAGCCAGACAACATAAGCGAGCGGCTAACGTCTTTGTAACGATGCAATGTCATTGAACGACGTTTTAGCGGCTTCGAAAACGGAAGTTTCCAGTGCACTCGATTCACGAGCCTCTAAGACGCGCACAAAATTATTGACCGCCCTCGTAATTTGACGGGAAATTTCTCAAGCAGTTTGGAGGGTTAATTGTTGTAAACATCCACTCTGCAGCTCGCTGCTGGCTCTGACTTTATATTTAACAGTGTGCTTATTTTTTATATCTTATTTTCCGGGCTATAGTCCAAGGTCTATACATGTTTAAAAGCTGAAATTTTAGGCTGTGCGGACTCTCTACGCGTGCGGACTCTACACGAATTTTGTTTTTCAAGATCGTTCATTATGAGGAGATGTGACGGATTTTGTGAGTGAAAGAGTATGTTAATGATGATTTATGTATATTATAGGCAGGCACGTAGCCAGGGGGAGGCCCCCCCCGAAACAAAATTTTGGCTACGTGCCTGATTGTAGGCTTCTTTGTGTGCTAAGAAAGCAGACATGTGTCAAGGTGTGCCGTCTATAGGAAGATTTTCGTGTCGACTAAGCACCAGGTGCCGACTATGCACGGCACGCGGACTATCTAAGTATCTAAGCAAGAACTTTTACTTTAGACCCCCAATTTGCCCCTGCGGACCGGGTACGGACTATAGCCCGGAAAATACGGTACATATATTTTAGATTTTTGCATGTCCTATATTCCGTTCACGCCTACGCTGACAGTGCGGTGCAAGCTACTTGTTCGCCAACTATAATTAAAGCCTCTTATCGCTTGACCTCGCTCTCCCCGCGTGAGTATGCGAGAGGCGGTGACCACGTTGTGCAGAATCGACAGTTGACTGGTCAAACGAACATGCAGCTTCCACCGCACTGTCTGTTTAGGGGTGAACATTTCGCAAAATCGTGATAATTGGCTCAGCATACCCAACGGCTGATCGGCTTCACAGAAGTTTATATTTTATTTATTTTTCTGCGCTTTCTTGTTTTATTTCTCATTGATGAGTACTGTTCATTCATTTGCACACCTGAGTCATTAGACAGCTGAAATGACGTCGAAAGATTCTTGTGATATATCTTTTTTTTGTAATCTTTAACGGACTGTAACGAAAATGAAGGTGATATATATGTGGATGCCATCCTCACTGTATAATAGTAGGGCTCGGCGGACATTAAACAGGCGGATAAACTATCAAAATATGTTTACTAATTAACCGAAAATTGTAAAGTCACTGTTTAATTACATAGCTTTTTACTTTTCTTATTTCACTGTAGATTACACTTGTGCAGCTTCAGACACCCCGGCCGTGACACTTCCCCTTTGGACTTGGTTTAATGAATTTGTGTTTAGTATAGTTGCGTTATTTGTTTAGTATAGTTAGGTTTATTATCATTAGTGCATGATTTTTTTTTAACGAGGTTATAATTGCTTCCTCTTTTTTACAGTGGCTATTTTCAAACCTAACGTTGCATTTGCATATGTTGGTGTGCATGTGCATGGTGTGTGTCTGCATCTAACTGTGTCACATGGCACCTGTGACATCCTAATGACGTCTGCATATAGTTGTTTCACTTTGCACTCGGGCTCAAAGTATAGCTATGTTGGACTGTTAATTTCAGGGTGGCATATCCCACAAGCCTCATGTTGGCTGTGATGTGCCCGTCATGCTAACTGATGTGCGCTAGATACAATAAATGTATTATATTATTATTATTATTATTTAGCGGTTTAATGGGCCTCTTCGCAATTGCAATTTTAAAGAGAGTAATGTAACCCCAAAACTCTAACCGGCGATTTCCGAAAAACATGGATTACCCAAAACTTGCTGCTTTTTCACAAAATTGTTTCATTTAGGTTGGGCTTTAATAATGTCTCCGTTTAAAATTGCAATCGCAGCATAGCCCATTATACCAATACTTAAGAAGGTAATTAACATATTTTGGTTAGTAAACATAATTTTATGTTTGTTCTCTCCTCTAACATTTGTCATTGCTGTGGTATTGCTGGCTACTGCAGTGTGTGACCCAATTTTTATATGTTTGTTATAGGTACTTTGGCCAGATAAACCTCAAAAGAGGTACCAGGTGTGCACCATGCCATACCGCAAAGAGCGGCATTTATCCGAAAGTGCTCAGGCTCATCAAGGAAGGGAAATGAACCCGTAGGTACTATCCAAAGATTGCCAGCCGTTCTCTTCAAGCCGCATGGAGAGCTCTATGAGTTCAGCAAGTGTTCCTAGTGGTCCTTGGGATATTTCATGCTGGAGGCTTATGTAGTATTGGTCTTGTCTTTGTAACTTTGTGGGTATAAGGCAAGCTGTATTAAATTTATTGCAGGTTCCAGTTGCACCAAGCAGGTGCACTCACCCTCAGGTTGCAAGCCGCTCTCTTCAAGTCGCATGGGGTGCTTTATGAGGTGAGCAAGCATTTCTAGCAATCCTTGGGACATGTCGTGCTTTAGGCTTATGTATTACTGGCCTTGTCTTTGTTACATTGTGGTATATGGCAAGCTGTACTAAATTTATTGCAGGTCCCAGCTGCACCAAACAGGTGCACGCACCATTACAGATTGCAAGCCGTTCTCTTTAAGCCACATGGAATGTTCCATGAGGTGAGCGTGCATTTGTAGTGGTCTTTGGGACATGTGCTGTATATTTAATACAGCCTGGCGTATATTTAATACGCCAGGCTGTATTAAATATATTGCAGGTCCCAGCAACAAAAATTGCAAGCCGCTCTCTTCAAGCCGCGTGGAGTGCTCTCTGAGGTGAGCAATGATTTCTGGTGGTCCTTGGTACATGCCCTTCTGGGGGTTTATGTAATACTGACCTTGTCTTTGTTATTTTCTGGTATATGGCAAGCTGCATTAACTTTCTCGCAGTTCCCATCTACACAAAGCGGGTTGACCCACCGTCAGACCGCAAGCCGCTGTCTTCAAGCCGCACAAAGTGTTCTATGAGGTGAGCAATCATTTCTGGCTGTCTTTGGTGCATGCCATGCTGGGGGTTTATGTAATACTAGCCTTGTCTTTTTTACTTTCTGGTACATGGCAAGCTGCATTAACTTTCTCGCAGTTCCCATCTAAACCAAACGGGTTGACCCACCTTCAGACCGCAAGCTGCTGTCTTCAAGCCGCACAAAGTGTTCTATGAGGTGAGCAATAAATTCTGGCTGTCTTTGGTGCATGCCATGCTGGGGGTTTATGTAATACTGACCTTGTCTTTGTTATTTTCTGGTATATGGCAAGCTGCATTAACTTTTTCGCAGTTCCCATCTACACCAAGCGGGTTGACCCGCCGTCAGACCGCAAGCCGCTGTCTTCAAGCCGCACAAAGTGTTGAGTGAGGTGAGCAATCATTTCTGGCGGTCTTTGGTGCATGCCTGCTGGGGGTTTATGTAGTACTGGCCTTGTCTTTGTTAGTTTCTGGTATATAGCAAGCTGCGTTAACTTTCTTGCAGGTCCCAGCTGCACCAAGCGGGTAGACCCACCGTCAAAGACCGCAAGCCGCTTTCTTCAAGCCGCACAGAGTGTTCTGAGGTGAGCAATCATTTCTGGCGGCCCTTGGTACATACCATGCTGGGGGTTTATGTAAAACTGGCCTTCTCCAGTTTGATCCAGTTTTACCTAAGGAAAAGTTGGACCTCTATAGTGGGATGGACATGCATTCAATATTTTTATATACATGTATACAAAGCTGTCTATTTTGATTCGAACGAAATTAAAAAAAAAAAAAGAATGGCACGAGTTACTTAAATGATTCCCTCACTGTGTGTTTATGGGGCTCGGAGGACATTAGATAAGGGGATAACCGTTGCAGAATGTTAATCAAAACTAATGAACAAAATTTTTTTAATAATGTTTTTAATTAATTGTTTTATGGGATACGTTTCAATTCTAGTTTCAAAGGCAGTAAATATTAGACTAACAGAATTTCTGTATAGCAACAAGGTTCAAGATATGGAATGCTAAAAATTTGCTTTTTTTGTCACCCGATTCGAAAATTGCGTACTCGGGGAAGACCTCAGGATGTTGTGCGGACGTGGTTACTTCGGACGCACCTTTTTTATCTTGGAAGTATGACGCGGATGCATCTACCGAGGACACACTGTCGGGATAGTGACGATGTGCCCAGTACGACTATGTCACTCTCCCACCCACCATTAACGGCACAAATTCTTGAGCTCCTGAGCGCGGTTTTTGCATCCGACATTAAAACACAAAAGTTGGACAATGAATATGTGGAAGCCGCTTGGCATTTCGTGAATTGTTTAAGTCGGGATAGCCTTTAATATTGGCTGGCTTTTAACACTGCTGTTGCAGCATGGCCGATAAAGCCATTAGTTACAAAGCTAACAAATTTTCGTCAATTAGTCAACATACTGTGACGGTTATCCCCTTTACTGATGTCCACAGAGTCCTACGAATGCGCAATGAAGAAGACATTCTGATAACTTTTGCGGCCTTTTTTGAAAATTCTGTTAGCTTTGATATAGAATGATGTGTATACATGTAAAACGACTTGTAGAATGTAATCATGCACATGATTGTGTTACAAGGCTTTGTTTTTCACCCAGTTAAGTAGTGCATTTTTTATCGCAACCTTCCAAAAATAAGCAAAGCATCCAGTTTGGTATTCAAATTGTATTCTATTTCGGTAATAAATCAACGGACTACTACTTGGTTCGCCTTTGGCTTCATACTGAGAATAATAGGCATGTGTGAATCATGAATTTTAGGCTTAAAGTGTATAATGACTTGAGCTTATTAACTTTTCAGTTGAATATCACAGTGTCTGCACCTCTCTCCAAGCCTGTTACCGTCACGCTAGCCTCAGCCATCCTGACAGTGTTGGTATCACTTGTTTAGCTGTAGGCTGCTTTGATTACTTTAGTACATATGTTTTCAAAATGCAGTAATATGTCAGTGAAGGAGCATGATCGTGCACGAATAGTAACTTTAGGTATGGTACAAAAAAAATACCTAATATCAGGGGCAGGTAGTCATCCACTGAAATAAAGTTAGAAGTGAATAATTTTGATTACCAAACTGAATGCTCTCTTAAAATTCTCAAGGATCTGCTTAAGCTGCACAGTTGTAATCGAGGGAGCAAGCAAAGCTTGTCATTTATTTATGCTTGTCAGCAGCATGCTGCATGGGCATATAGATTTATAAGTGTACATAATCAGCATGAGGGCAATACATATACTTTTTAAATGAAATTCTAATTGATCTCGTTATCATCGCCCCATTGCCAAAGCTCTGTTAGTTCTGATCCAAATTATGTAGTGGCTCTGGCTATCATCAGGTCAAGGCCCACATAGAGGTTGTGAGTATAAATACACGATTTGATGGCCTTCTCGCCATGCTCATCCTTCAATTTCAAATTAGAACTGTTGCTGCAATGTCGTGACATAGCATGTTAGGACATTGCAGCCTAATACATATTCTTGATAACAGAATAGCTGCAGTGTTATTTGTCTTCTAAATTTGACCTTGAGGGGAGTACCGACATCCATCAGATGCATAAACATTCACGTAACCATTTTTAAATTTTTTTCTTAATTCCTCCCGTGTACATGTCAAAACCTCTCCGCTATAGAGGTGTGCATTTCCCACCAAAGTATGAGTCTGCGCTACGACAAAGCGAGATTCTTGCGACCGGGGTGTTACACCACCACCTAGATAAGCAGAAGGCCTCCGCACCGTCATCACAGCCAGATCGATTGAGGCCTGAGATTGGGCCGGGGCTCGTGTTCCATCAGCGCGTCGAAGGTCGGACTCGGGCCCAGTAGCCGAGTTAGCGCCATCCGACTGTGATGACGTTTCATGAAGGGAGAGGAGGCGATGCCCAGGCTTTTATTATTCTATAGGTGGTGTTGGGTGTTAACGCGATTAATGTGATTGCGGAGTTTGCTCCATGGGTTTCGCTTCTCCGCAGCGCAGTGCACATGCGGAGAAGCGCACTGAACAAAGCCAATTCATTGCAATGGTGACTTTACGAGCGCTTTGAAATGGTCGACTGGCGTAAACGACTTTATTTTCGCGAGCTTGATATTTCATACATTTTGTGAAGTGTCAGTTTTGGAAATACTTTGTGGGAACAAAATTTCACAATGAGGAGTAATGTTCAATGTATTCGTAGCCATGGGGTTACTTATTTGCATGACCAATTTGAAGCAATTTCGATAAACTCGCAAACAGTAAGCCTTTGCAAAAATTAAGCCGTTTACAGTAGTACGATTAACGTTGAAACCAATATCAAATACCGTATAATACTAAACTGCTATAAGAAAATTTTAATATTAGCACAGCCCTGAAAAATGGCCATTTGCGGATGTTTTCGCTGTGGCCTTCATCAATTCATATGGGCTTCAAGTGTAGCAGCTGCAACCTTGAATCTGGAAAAGGCTATTGTTTGTCACACATTTTCTTTATGGTGCCTAAGGTTTGATGTAATAAATGTTGTGCCCTGCAGTGAAGACTATTACCTGTAGCATAGCCCTGGGCATGCAAAGAAGGCACACCAGCAATGTCTGACATATCAGACTTTCAGAAATGCTATTGTCCAATTTTCCTCACCCTTTTGTCAGGATGAAGCTGTTACTATCTTTCTTGCTTTCCTCTCATAGTCCTTTGAGCGAGTTATGTGACGTTATATCATAGGGTGGCATAGGGTAATTTTCTCTTCTCTTTTCCCGCAGGATATAATGGCACACCATCATCACCAAGGAGAGTGTACAGTAAGGAAGCTCGGAAACTTGAATAAAGTGATAAGTAATCTTCCAATTTTTGTCTTTATAATTACGTGAAGAACACTGATCATAATGACTGTATGCTACACATACATACTTTCAGCTGAAAAATGCAATCCACCTTTTCTTTATGTTTTTCTCACACAGTTTCAGAACACGCTGGTACGTCATTTTCACGAGGACTGTTTGGAAATAGAGCTGCCAGAGATTTCCTCTAATTTTCACGTACAAAGCCGCAAATAAAAATGACGACTTTCCTAGTCAATTTAGAAAAACGACAGTACGTTATTTTCACGGGGGAAGATTTGAAAACGATTCAATCGTCATTTTCACGTCTATGCTCGTAAACTAAGAATGCGGTGCCTCGTTTTTTTGACAACTTTTCCCACATAATTTAAAAAAAATGATTGTACGTTATTTTGACGGGAAATGTTTGGAAATAGAGCTGCCAGAACTTTCCTCGTAAATTTCACGACTCATTTTTAACAGTGTATCAAAGCTTTTTGTTGCTCTGGAAAAAAGAGAAAGGGGGGGGGGGGGGCGGCGGCACAGAGACGTTTTATTTAAAATCACATTATGAACATAATTAGTCCTGGCCTGCTATCGATCCCTACTTTGTTTATTGATATGTCCAAGTGGCCCTCAAGATGGTTTATTTTGCTTGTGCTTGAAAAAGGCTTAACTCTACCGTGAGGTTAACGTATCGCGCTGCAGTTTAGTACAGAGATGCAAACAAAAGGTGGAGTTCTGTTTTTGTTTTTTTGTTTTTTTTTGTAAAAAAAAGTTAGGCTGTGAATTTTTCTTGTTAAAAAGAAAAACCTCTGCTACGCAATCTGCGGCGTCGTTTCGCAGGCGGAGACTCGCTTTTTAGGGACGCTGCCGTGAGATTGCGGAACCTGGGGCACAGGATGCCGCGGATATTTTACACATTTCGTAGATTTCGTAGATTTTTCGTGTGCGTAAACTAAAACTACGCTCGCATCAATTCGTCGTTTACT